CTGTATACCAAAGTTTGAAACCTTGAATATCCTTAGCTTCTTCTCCATGCCATTTTGTTTCTTACAGGCAAAGGATATTGATTTTTCTTTGAATCATAACCCCTACAACCTCTACAGATTTATAATTTAATGTCCCAACATTCCAAGTACCAAATCTAATTTTGCTCTTATGGACTAACTTCTTTAGCCGCGTGCGTCCAGAATGACGCAGTAGCCTTTGCTCATTTAACACTACATCCGGGCGTCGATGCAGCGACTCTAACTCACTTATCACTGTACTCGAGCCATGCAGCGCGTTACTTACGAGCAACGACCTAGCATTAATATTATAACATCTATTGTCCATGTTCATGATAGATTCAACAAAGTTTTACATTAGCTGTTGATGACCTAACACAACCCTCCTCCTTTACCCGGGCTTAGGACCGGCTATAAACATAGGCGGAGTTGGGAAGAGAAAATTAACAATGAACTTAGGAAGAGAAATCCAAATTCTTTTGTGATTTGGGTGGTGGTATCTAAAGAGCATGACTTGGATAGGATTATCAATAATATAAGATGATCGTTAGGGATTGGCGATAGTATTTGGATTTCTTACAATAATCAAGAAGAAAAATCTGCAAAGATTTGGGGTGTCTTGGGATAGAAAAAATTTGTTCTATGGTTGGATGATGTATCGGAGCAATTGAACTTAACCTTAATAGGGGTACCTCATCTAAAAGAGGCTAACTTTGAGTCCAAAGTGTTGTTTACAACAATGTTAAAGGATGTGTGTACGAATATGCAAGCTCAAATATCATTCAAGGTAGACTTTTTAAGGAAACAGAAGCATTAGAGTTATTTCAATGAAAGTTGGTGTGAAAACTTTAAACTCACACCCTAGGATCACAGTCCTAGCAAAAGAGATGGCTAAAGAGTGTAAAGGGCTACACTTATATTAATTATTGTTGGAAGTGCCATGGCGGGTGAGTATAGCATTAAAGCATAGGAATTCTCAAAAAATAGCTTAGCAAGTTCTTCATTGATTACTTTGAATTTGGAGATGAAGGTGTTTTCTATCCTTAAGTTGAGCTATGATCAATTGTCAGATGATACTCATAAAAATTGTTCTTGTATTGTGCATTATATTAAGAAGATTATGAGATTCGAGTCACTGATATCATTGATAAATGGATAGGAGAAGGATATGTATATGAAAATATGACAAAAAGCATACAGGACATGTGCAATTATGGAGAATCTGTGATTGCAAAAGTTAAAGTTTTGTTGCTTGTTGGAAACTGCTGAATATGACATTGTTGTGAGGCGTTCGATTAAGATACATGATATGATCGGAGACATGGCACTATGGCTAGCAAGTGATCAAGATAAGAAGAAGGTTCTAACACAACAAGATGCAGTGACAATGTCCCAAGATGATGATGTTGAAAAATGGAAAATTATTGAGAGGATTTCAATCATGGGAGCTGGTGAAGAATGGCCCGTACCATCTGGGGATTGTTTCAATCTCAAAACATTATTAGTCAGGGAATGCAAGATAAATGGTTTGCAAAATATCAAATGCATGGGCCGATTAAAGTACTCGGAATTAATGTTGAGAAGATATATGATCCTACAGTAATTTCTGATTTGGTTCTTTTGGAGTACTTTTCTTTGAAATTTTATGGTTCCAAGCTTCCCAATTAAAGATTCTTCAACAATTAAAAATTGAAACTACTTAATTTGTTCATGAAAGGAGTTAGCATTGCAAGTATTCCATTGGAAGTGATATCCAATCTTCAACAATTAAAAATCTTGAGAGTTTTTTATTATATTGGTGTTGAAGGAGATAGCAAGGAAGAGGGAGAATTCCGAGAGGAGGTGGAATCCCTACCAAAATTGAGGAACTAAATGTTAACACATATACAAATAATGGCCTCTCTAAACTTGTTGGCTCAACCAAACTGCAAGGTTGCACATCTACTTTTTGTCTTGTGGGTTCGAGCATCATAGTTAAGCTGCCTTTATTATTGGCTTGCATGTCAAAAATGAAGCACCTACGGCATTCTAGCTTGTTCTCTTCGAGTAGATTGGAAGATTCTTCACTTTATGATCCATGTCGTCTTACCATGATTCGAAGTGTGGTCACTGGAGGGTGCAATTCAATAATGCATGCGACATGGCTCAAGGATGCTCCACTGCTTCAAGCACTTATCATCTCTGAATGCCCGTCAATGGAACAAGTGATCAAGGAAGAAGAAACAAAAGATCATCAGATTGTGGGTTCTCTTGTATTCTCTTCTCTTGTAGACTTGTATTTATCTAATTTGCCAAAGTTTAAGAGCATCCATAGAACACCCTTTTCTTTGCCTTCCCTGGAATCCATCTTAGTATTTGATTGTCCAAACCTAAAAGAGTTACCACTTGATTCCAACCCTGCCAAATATGAGTTGATGAGAATTCAAGGAGTTCAAGACTGGTGGAACAATTTGGAGTGGGATGACCCAGTTGCTAAGCACAAATTCCAATCAAAATTTTATAGCTCGAGTGGGATGACCTAGTTGTTAAGCACAAATTCCAATCAAAATTTTGTAGCTCATTGGTTGATACAACACCTGAAGGAAAATACATTCTAACGTTGAGATTTAATTAATCTTTTTGCTCTCATATGATTGGCTTGCCTTTTTCCATGTAATTGCTATCTGGATTAATGATTTTCACCCTTCAATTTAACAATTTTCGTGATGCAATTTTTATTTTTTCCCTTCAGCGCAACATTAAAAAAATCGCATATATATTGTTTTTCAAAAAAAAACAAGAAGAAGCAAAAGTTAGCCCAAATGTACACTATTCATTAAATGGCTTTGTCTTTTCAATCATATATGATGAGATTATGATTTGCAATACCACACATGTTTGGGGTATTATTACTACATCTCTTTTAACTCTGACATAATTGTTCTGTAGCTAATTGGTTTTCTTTCAACTGTGTAGATTTTCAGGCACAATTGTTTGCAAACTTTCTTTACTATGCAGGAGCGGATTTCATATATTTGAGTTTATTTGATGTTTGAGAACTTTGGTTTGAATATATTTTAGCTTTTGCTCAAAACATTAACTACTTATACATGTAATTAGCTACAACTATTTTATAAATATTTTGTTGATTCATCTAACACCTGAGCAGAGCATGGGATACATACTGTTATCTATAATTTCTAAAACAAAAAAAAAATCAAATGAACTCATCAAAGCATGATTCAAACTGATAGGAAGATTGAACGAAACTAATTGGCTTCAGTTAATTATTTTGTAAATCACGAGAAACTCTTTCAAAAGGCAAGCTGTATAAACGCAGGTAACACGAATGAATAAAGTGACATGTACCACCTACAACTTATCCCAATCTGGTTATTATTGTTGAGGTACTATAGGATAGAACGTTCGCAAAACATCAACAATTGCATGAACAAATTTAAAGTGTTAGAACAAATTAAAGATGAGAGTATGTGGATTCTTCTTTATTCTCTTCTCTTGTAAACCTGACTCTCAGCAAACATGTATGCCAAAAGATATCTAAGTCACTAGAATGATATTCTAGATCAAGCTGCCCAAGTCATTGTCGTCCATAGATTGGCGAGCCTATTGTCAAAGTTTAATCTGAGGTTTGAGAACTGAGGGAAAAAAGTTTGGTAAAGATTTTGATATTTCTCACAAGCTACCACCCAACCCTGTTAAGATGCCTCATTGAGAGAGAGTGGGTTCAGATTTGAAGTTTAACAATGAACTTGGGACCAAAAGTTTGATGATTCAAGGATGTCCTTTAATAACTCCTATCACATGGCCCAAGTATGTTCCACTGCTTCAACAACTTTACGTTGTCGGAAGTTTACCCTGTTCTATTTGCTAGGGCTCAAGACCTTTTATAAGACAACCTTGTCTTTTCTATCATGGGAAGATCCAAATCTGAAGAAGTTACCATTTGATTCAACAATTTAGACTGGGATGACCTAGCAGCCAACTAGGTTGCATAGATACAGGTACAAGTATCCGATACGATACGGCATGATACAAGGATGCGGCAAATTTTTAAAATTTTAGGATATGGGTACAGAAATATTTATAATATATATTTCAACATTTTATTATATAAGTATAGGTATTTTAATTTTAAACAAGAATTTCTAATATAATATAAGGATATTTATAATAATTAACTAAAATATTAAGTGTTTTTTTAAGTTCTTAAGTGATATAGTAAAAAATTATTGAAAAAAAAATAATATCACAAATGTTAGAATATGAGATACATATGCAAAAGAATCTTACAAGTATGTATCAGATATGTATCGGATACGGATACGTTTACTTTTTTGAAATATCCATGCTACATAGGCAGCCAAGCACAACCTCCAGTTCAAATATCAAGCCATAGATTTAGGAGGTGAATGCATTCTATTCTCCTCTTTTCTTTTCCTTCTTTAGCTTTTGGGTTAAAAAAGGTAAACACATTCGATAATTTTAGTTATCTCGGTGCAATACTCTGTTTTTTACATGGTTCTTTGTTCACATTTGATGAAATTGAAATGAGCAATTCTGCTAATAAAAGTCAACAAGACCATTTGACAATGAAACATGCCCACTTCTGTACAATTGATTGCTATTCTGCAGATTATCGTGCACAATGGCATTTCCACCGTTGATTTCCCCTCCTTGCTTGGGGCTTTCTTGCTCTTGCTAGTTCAAAATAAAGGTCCAAACATGGCATATATTCTCTCTTCATCGATCCTTTTCGTTTGCCCTGTTCATGAACACTTTGATTCTCTGTTGCATCACAAAACAGGGCATTCTGAACATCAATTCAAGTTTCACAATTAAAAAATAATATATAAGATGCCATCACTTGTTTTAATGGTTAAAGGAGGACCAAACATCATCAGTTCATCACATTTGCTTGCTAAGAATTGGACATCGAACAAAAAGCCCAAATCATTTGCTTCGTACCATAATGTATCTCAATATTTCTGAAGTAAGGTATTTGTATATGAAGTTGAGACTCTAAATGCAGTACATTAAAGTAAGGTCAAACTGAGTTAAACAAGACAAAATTTTGCCAATTTACATAAACAGCCCAAGTATTGAGATTGAATTGAAGTGAAGCCTCCCGCCTAAATCTCCAAGAGACAGCCTGACTGAACATGGCCAGTGTGGCCCATTGGGCTCTCCAACTTTCTCCAACTGTTACTCTTAAGGTCCAATACAAAGCCCATGTATGGCTCAGCATACCCACTCGATCCAATCACCACCAACGTCCCCTCCAACCCCGAACTCATGTAAGCCACCTCCCGGATCTCAGGTGGCAGCGTCGCCAAAGTTTCCCACGTGTCATCTTCTAATGCCACGACGTCACCGCCCTTGCACATGTATACTTTCCTTCCATCACCGCCGTTCACGCAGGTCCTCGGACACGTGGCAGATTCAAGAAACTCCTCTTCCACCGGGTCCCACTTGCACGAAGCAATGTCAAAGGCTTCGGCGCTTCTCTCAAACCGCCCTTGCATCTGCGTGCAGTAACCGCCGATCACCTGAAACTTCCCACTTTCACGGTGGAAAACCGCCTTGCACTCGTCCCTCTCTCTTCCCATATCGGGAAGTGTGACCCACTCGTCTCTTGCCACGTCATAGGATAAAGCCGACCTTAACGCGTTCTTCTCGTCATCGTGCCCACCGGCCACGTAAACTACCCGCTCGGAATCAGACGCGCAGGCGAAGAACGTCCTCGCCCCACCCGGCATGTCCGCCCCACGCCGCCACTTGGCCGACATGAAGTTGTAAATAAACACCGAATTCGAAGACTTCCACGAGTTTGGGTCCCACCCGCCAATCAAAACCAAGTCGTACCCGACACCCGCTATTTGACAGAACATGGGTAACCCGCCAGAGGAACCCGGAGGGGGCGGCAACTCGGTCCACTGACCCGAATTCGCCTCACATACACTCAAACGATAAATCGGGTTGGCTGAACCCTTCATCAAAGCACTGACTCGTTTATCCAAATTGACTCGTGCCTGAACCATGACGATGAGTTTCTGGGTATGGCCGGCGCTCCTCCGTCGGCGGAGAAACTCCGGCATCTCAATCTCCGCCTTCCAGTTCTTACAAACGGACGCAACGGTGGGGAACTGATCGAATGAAACCCGAATCAAACAGTCCATGGCAACATCATCGGGAAGACCCGTAATCAGATCCATGATAGCCGATGAGGAAAATCAATAACGTAGAAGTAAGAAGTAAGTGGGATTAAAAAGTAGAAAGGGAAGATTTAGGAATAGTGAGGGATAGATTAAGAGGAATGGAGGCATAAAGAAGAGAGTATCTGAGAGAAGAAGGGGGTGGAAACGGAATTTTATAGGGGCTGAAGCGTATGGTCGCGACGATAATCATGAAGGGTAAAGGGGACTGGATGTTCTAGAAGAAGGCTCTTGCGGGATAGAGTGAGACGCATTGAAAGAGACTGCCGGATCTTGGAGTGACACCGGAAAACCGGCGCGCCCTGTGCCAATATGGCTGTTAGTTTTTCGTATTTATTTATTTATTTATCAAAGTATTATATTCTTTTTCTCTCCCTTTTCTTTTCTTTCTTTCTTTCTTTCTTTCTTTCTTTTTTTTAACATGCCCGCGGCAGAGGAGATTCCTGTCCAATGTGACCTGCATCTCGTATCCCGTATTTGTAAAGACTTGAAAATTTCGAAGTTTACTATTTACAGTAAACTTTGAATCTTTTTCATCCGAATGAAGAAAAATATTAAATTTTTTTAAATATATTTACTTTAAAATAAAATATTCTGATATTTAATAAGTTTTTAAAAATTTAATAAAAAAATAATAAAAATAAATATAATAATTATTAATGTGTTTTATGGATAGGATTAAAATAAATACGATTTATCTATCCTTAAAATTCACATATTTCAATTTTAAAAAATTTAAATTTTATTTTTAAATAAAGTGATTATTTTAACTTTATATTGGGGCGGATTTAAAAAAACAAAAATTGGAATGACTCGGAGTGAGCTTTCAAATTTTCATTGACTATCATAAATCAATTTTTTCTAACTCTATTTTGGAGTTGAAAATAATGGTCTTATATACAAGAAGATAAGGCACGTCTTTCTTACCTTTTCTTGCTTTTTAACTCCTTCCCACTCTAAAACTACAAGAACACGATAAGAACCAATTCAAATGTATTAATTTTATAATTCTTAAATAATAATTAAATAAAATTATTCATTGTTTAATAAAACTATTAAACAATAAAATGTTTCATTCTATTCAACACCTCCCACTTCAGTCAATTCTATTACATTAATTAATAACCATCTTGTTTCGTTTCATATTTATAACCTCAAACATATCCCAAGTATAGGGCATGCACCATTGTTCAACTTTCTCATAATTCGTTTTAATTTTATTAGTAAAAATTGTCAAAATTAATTGCAGCCTTCTTGTTTTAGATAACTTTCAATTTCACCTTAGGGTATGTTTGATTCAAGGGAAGGGAAGAGTTTTAATATTATCTTATTTAATTTTGTTGAAGGAAAGGAAAAATGAGGAGTTTTTAATGATTCTTTGTTTAGTTTAGGATGGGAAAGGAGGGGAGGTAATAATTAATTTACTATTATATCCCTATACGTTAGTTTAAAAAAATTAATTGTTCCTTGCAGAAAATAATTTTACACCTCAATTTAAATTACAAAATTTTTAAAAAATTCACTCTCATCCTACCATATTGTCAATATGTGAATAAAAAATTAAACTGATAATTATAATGATAAAAAAAATTTTATAAAAAAATAAATAACTCCCTTAAATATATAATAAAATATGATGAAATATAATTTTAAAAAAATCAATGAGGTCAATTGAGGTTCAGAGTGAAGCACAATATGATATGAAAGAGAGATTTTTTTTAGCTATGAGTATACTTAAAATATTAAAAAATAGGTAAAGATAAAATAATTAAAAAAAATTAGCTTTCCTTTTAAAAAAAACTCCCAATTTGGAGGGAAACAACATAAGGGGAGGTCCTCTCCCCTCCAAAATTTCTTAACAAAATATTCCCTCTCTTTCAAAACCCTCCAATCAAAAACACCTTTGAATTTGAGTCTCTAGATCCACTATTGAGTATCGTATACTCTCTCCAAATTAAAATATAAAACATTAATAATTAATTCACAGTCATCAAAAATATTAATTGAAACCTTAATCTTTTTTTAAAAAAATTTACATCTTTTCAATTTTTCCCTCATTAGATGTCTTATATAAGTATTTTGATAATGATAATTAAAATTTTAATATAACATGTTTTTCTCAAAAAGAGTAATAAGTGAAGTAAAGTTATAACTAAAAAATATTATAAAAGTCATTCAATGTTCCATATTTTAAATTAAGTAAGATTTTTAAAAATGTGATTTGGAAGGAATATATTAGAAACTGTTATTGGTTAACAGTATCTACTGATCAAGTTATATTTCTGCTAAAAAAAATATGTTTATACAGAAATAGAAAAGATGGACTTAGTTTTTTAGTCTGAGCTTGGATTTTAGCCAAATGGATGCGGGGGATGAGAGGTGGCTCTACATGATCCCTGTTCCAAAATGACTTAATTCTTTTTTTTTTTGTACTTCTTTAAAATTTTGATCTTACAAAAGTAACAACATAACTTATTTTCTTCATTTGCACAAAATAAATAATTTATTTTAAAAAAACAGTGAAAATAATTGAAAAAATGGATTAGGTTATGAGAAAGAGGAAATCATGCTCTAGCCACATTTATTTGTGATTTTAACCATTGAATTTTAAATTAATATTTTAACCAATTTAATAATCAATTATATTTCTATTATCTTATCTTAATATTTTGAATTCAAAACCGTCTCTCACTTTTTTTAAGAAAAAAAAAGGAATATTACATATTTTAGAAATATGATGCTATTTATAATTTTGACAGAAAAAATTTAAATTTTTGGTCAAGCAATTTATTTATTATATTATTGATGATATTATTGAAAACGAAGAAAGGATAAGAAGGCGTGCCAATTGGGGACCAAAGTTGCAGTGTAAGTGTTCTAGAAGGAAAACTTAGAAATTGGAAAATGATCTGGAACGATGAGCATGCTGTTACGTTCAAGTTGACAAACTGACACTAATGATGGATGTGAACAATTAATGGTGGGTCCCCATCCGACATGGCGATTCAGATCGAAGCAGATTTCTTTCTTTTTTTCCTTTTTAAGTGCAATGGGAAAATTCAACAGCAATGAGACAAAAACTGTACAAGATTCTAAAGAGAAACACCAAAAACAAAATTCAAAAAATTACATAAAACATCTTAAAGTGTGATTAATAATAACATCAATCTGAGAGAGAAATTTCGGTTTTTTTTTTAACTATATCTCCGAAGCCAAATTATATTAAGACTTCTCCGTCTCTTTTAGAATATACCACTTCACTCTTTATTAGTATAAGATATGTACTTTTAATTATTTTATTAAAATTAAAAAAATTGATTTAGATATTAATTTTGGATAAAAATATAATAATTTTATAGTCTTACACTTATTTAAATAAAAAAATTTATATTTGTATTACATTTCATTTTATAATTAATTATTTTAAAATGGCCATCAATTGACTTAAAATAAGGATAATTCATACTCTTTTCATTTAAAAATATAAAGTATTTTTTAAGGAGTTGGATGTTTAAAAATGTAAGACATTTTTAAATCTTTCGAGATATGATCATCTTTTTTTCAAAAATGCCCTTATTGATAATAACTTTATATTTATTGTAAGGTGTTTAATAGGGATAAATATAAAAAGATAGGGTTAGTTGAAAAGTAGATATTTACTTTATTAGAGAGTGAGATTTAATTAAAAATATCTTATATTTTTTAATGAAGAGAGTATTACCTTCCTTCAATATTATAGTAAAGCACTTTTAATTGAATAACACTCTAGTTGATTGTTTTAAAATTCACACTCTTTTCATATTTACGGGTTTATTCAAATAGAAATCTTATTACGTATGATCAGTGGTTAAAAATATTTTTGAAAAAATATTATTAGCTGCACTTTGAAGGTGTTAAAATATCTTATATTTTTTAAAAATTTATTTTAAATTTTTTTATATTTTTAAACGGCATATCTCAGACAAATGTCTCATATAATGACTTCTAAGGTTTTGTACAATAACATTAAAAAATATAATTAATACATTAAAATACTAAATATGTTATTAATTTTTAAATTTAATGTATTAAACATTTTAACATTACACATAAATAAAAATTTAAATTAAATTTTTAACAAATTTTTTAAATTAAAATGTAAATAAATTATATTTTAAACTTCTAAAAAAACATATGACATAAAATAAAAAATATTTTCTAAAAAAGATTTATATTATAGAATACAGTGACTATTATTACTCTTCACGCACATTAATCATTCTCACTGTTTATAAGCCATAATCATAAATCATGTTGAAATTAAATTTTATAGAAATATATGAAGTGTAAATCACAAATTGACAACTTGTAAATTTAAGATAAATTTTATATTATATTAGGTAAATTCACTAGACTTTTTATTAACCTTATGTCTTACGGTGACATATTTGGTTCATATTTATGCTATATATTAAATGTTTGATGTGTTATATTTTGAAAATAAATTCCATGAAGGCTTGCATTTTTCTCCTTCCGATGATAAGGACAATGGATAAGATCAGAAAAATGAGGGAGGAATTGGTTGGCGGATTTTCAAAGAAATTTGCGACTCCCAAACCGTCAAAACGATTGTTTTTCTTGCAGCCACTTGGTTCACCCACTGCTTTAGTGATTAGATGAGTCTAGAGGATATTCACCTTTGCAATTTTAACTGATTAATTTATAGATTTATAATGAGCTACATAAAATCTTATTGGATCATTAAACTAATCAAGGAATTATTTTAATTATTATTATTATTAATGGTTGAAATTGCTGTAGATTTGTGATTAGATTGATCATGAATAAAATATTTTATTGAAGCAGTCTAGATATTAGTTAGACTATTTAGGATGACCTGATTTTTAGTACTAACATTTATATAGAAGGACCAGACAATTAGCTACCTTAGTCTAGTGTCATCAACTGCGCTAATTTCAAGCAGCAACTTAGAAAAACTGTTCACCTTCCAAAACAAAATTCAAATGTTTTTTTTGGAATGTTTCACAAATTATATGTTTTTTTATTGGTTAAAATATATTTTCGATCCTCTAACTTTATAAAAAGTTTAAATTTGATCATTTAACCTTATAAAGTATTTTTTTTCAATCTTTTTACCCAATACTTTTAGTTCAATTGTTTTTTTGGAA